TGGATAAATACACCTGGAAACATCTACCTACCTACTGTATTTCTCTCCCCCCCTCTCTCCCTCCCTCCCTACTCTCTCTCTCCCTACCTACTGTATTTTTCTCTCTATCCCTCTACCTACCTACCTACTCTGTCTCCCTAACTACCTATTGTATTTCTCTCTCTCTCTATCCCTCTATCTACCTACCTACTCTCTCTCTCTCCCTACCTACCTACCTACCTACCTACCTACCTACCTACCTACCTACCGTATTTATTTCTCTATCCATCTACCTACCTACCTACCTATTCTCTCTCTCCCCCTACCTACCTATTGTATATATATATATATATATCGCTCTCTCCACTTCCTACCTACCTACTCACTCACTCTCCCTACCTACCTACCTATTGTATTTCTCTCTCCCTCTATCTACCTACTTACTTTTAAAAAAGAATTTGCCTCTTCAAAATCTTGGTGCATCTTATACTCTGGTGCGTCTTAAAAATACAGTAGCTGCAAAATGCAGTTTGTTGATGACTGGAAAGTTTTAAATAACTTTGGTCCAAAGGCTTTTTAAAAAAAATATGGAAACTGAAATACTGAGTAAAAAGAAAATGAATGCAAAGATAGGAGCTCTATAGCATAATATGCTTGCAAACTTGGAAGATTAAATCATTGGTTTGCATTCTACCTGAACTGAGTTCAATGTCAGAAATCATATACCTACCTGCTCCCCTTCTATGTAAACCAGTGGAAAACCCATTTGCTTGGTCCATGTATTCATCACAGCTGCAATAGGTTTACCGCTAGCATCTTCCAGGCTTTCCCAAAGATCTTCTGCAAGAGAGAAAAACCTCAATCTAAATAACCTGCATTCTAATGCTAAAGAAAATATTTCATACCTGTTTATTTAGTGAATTTATACAGCCACTCCTTTTAACAATGTGACACTGAGCAGTTCCTAATACAAAAATCATAATCACAAATAAGAGGAATCACTGGAGTCATAGTTACAGATAGACCTCATTTAGAGACTGCCTCAAGTACCAACTATTCAAATGTATGATTAAAAATTATTTTGCAACAAACACTTATGTTTACCACCTATGCAGCTTTTCACATAGTGACATGTTGCCCTTACAGTCAGTTAATACTGACTGATTTCATGTTTTTTTTTCTCCTCACAGAATGGAGATTGTCTAAACAAGGGATCTTTTCCTGAGCTGCTTTTTTTCCGCAGCGCAGTGCTTCCACAGCAAATCAACAAGCTCAGTCCTGTGACCTTAATTAAGAGGCAGTCCTTGACTACACCATTTGTTCAGCAACCATTCAAAATTATGACAATGCTAAACAAAGAACATAAGAACTGTGCTTACGTCACATGCCCACAGTCACATGATCACAATGTGGGCAATTGGCAATTCACACATCCTTATGATCAACCACAAGATGCTACAGCTGCCCCCATCTGCATATCTTCTGTCCCCTTGGGACTTCCTGCCCAGCTGGATCCCACATGCCTTGACCTACTGCCGACCCAGCATCCCTTGCTCCACTAACCTCTTTGAAGATCACCTTTCCGAAAGAGTGCCCAGCTGATGCAATGCATGGCCTTCTGCAGAGGCTGCCTAACACCATTCTGAAGCAAGCCATTTGTGCAATCCTTTAGAAGGGCACAATTGGAAAGTATGTCCTGCATTGCCTGGGTGCTCTTTTGAAAATGCAATCTTTTGGAAATTGTCTTTCTAAGAGTTCCAAGCCACTGCTTTGCATCATCTTCCTATGCAGAAGCTACTCGTGCCATCCTGGAATCAGGTGTCATTTTAAAAGCAGCCACAATTCTTGCAATCTCTCACATCCTACCAAGTCACTTAGCAACAAAATTGTTAATCCCAATTATGGTTACTAAATGAGGATGACCTGTACATAGATTACAAGATTTTGGCATGTGTCACTGTATATAAATGTCCTATACAAAATTAATATATGGATGTTCTTATATACAATATTAAAAGCAACAGTGTTTTCATACAATATTATCTACCACTTATCTTTTAGAAAAAGAAATTGATCAAGGACTTAGCATAATACTAGACTGGATTATTTTGAGCAGGATTGGAGAAACAAATGGAAAAAGCTCAGAATTCACTATGGGAGTCTGGTAGTAGATTACTATTGCACCAAAGTAATACACCAAAGAAAGGATTGCAGGAAAGGTTAAGATTTCATAAACTACAATTTATAATTGCTAGAAAACTACATTTCTTGTCTTTCTGGTTAGAGAAATTCAGTATGGGATAACTTATATAAATGTTACCCTCTTTCATAAATGAAACACTCTGGAGAAAAGAGGAAAAAACCAAAAGCCACAAGCGTTACAATTACCTGTAGAAGCATTCTTATGCTGAAACTTGGTAAGATACAAGTGCATTCCTTTCCGGAAATCCTATAAAACAAGAATTTCAAAACAAACAAAATTATCAGAATTAATTCATTTCTGCTTTTCCACAAAATCATTTTTTTAAGAACAGAGTTTTCTGATTAATAAAAATTTATTATTATATGTATAATACTGTCCATTTAACTGTCACAATACTTGTGGTACATATGGACCTTATTAATAAAACAATGTTTAGTTCACAATGTGAAATGTTGAGCCAAAACAATGTTCAAAAGCCTTGGATACAACTCCAAAAAATCACCAAAAATTTTATTAGATTGTAACTTAGAATCTGGCAGAGCAGAAAAATGATTGGGAAATAATCATATTAACTATACTCAATTCTATCCCTCTGTTAATGCAGCCTAGAACTGAGATAGAACTATTTTTGGCAGCTGTAGCATACTGCTGGCTCATATTTAAATGATTGTCCATTAGGACTCCAAGAGTCCCCTCAGAGTTACTACTATTGAGCGAGGTTTCACCTATATTGTACCTGTGCATTTGGTTTTTCTTGCCTAAATATAGAACGTTACTTTTTTCACCACTGAATTTCATTTTGCTAGATAGTGCCCAATGTTCAAGTTCTGTCAAGATTCTTCTGAATCTTAAACCTATCTTCTGGAGTGTTGGCTATTCCTGATAGCTTGGTGCCATCCGCAAATTTAATGAGCTCCCTATCTATCTCTTCATCCAAATCACTGATGAAGATGTTGAATAGTACTGGGCTTAAAACAGAGCCTTGGGGTACCCCACTGCATACTGTATATATTATGATTAACTGAAATACCAAAAAAGAAAACATTATTTATTTTTATTAATGGAAAAAGTGAAAAATATGTGCATATTCTTTGGCTTTAGATATGCCTAAGAATGGATTTTATATTTTTGTCCACATGGATTAATATGTCTTTATTTTAAAGCAAATAATAGTTTTTAACTATAATTTTTAAATTCTATCACTTTTGGGAAGCCTTAGGATTAGTTCAACTGAGTCTGATGCTAATAATCTATTTAAGGGTAAAACTTAAACATTAAAAGAAATGGGCTCATATTTATCTTTTTTCATTATGCAGAAATAAATTATCTCAACATGTATTGTTATAAAATTAGAAATTTTAGAAATATAAAATTTCTAAAATTTCTAATTTTATAAATATAAAAATTGCATAAATGCAATCCTTTTTAAAAACTTTTTAAAGTTCAGGAATAATCTCAGATGAGTTTCATATCTAGAATTCTGCTTGTGAATGGAATTACATATTCCAAGATTTTAAAAGGGTGTTTAAATAGTATAAGAATGAAATAATATATATATGCAGCTTCAGGCATTGGAGCCTATTAATTCTAAAAGAAACAAAAACTTGCAACTCCTGATCAAGAATTAAAATGATTAAAAAATAGTTATATTCAAAAGAATTCTCTCTTAGCTCTCCTCACCATCAAATAGTTTGAAAAATCTTATACTGCACCATTATACAGGCAAGAGAGAGTCAGCATGGTGTATTGTTCAAGATAAATTCAGAGTCCTTGTCTCCCCATTTCTGCCATGTATGGATTGTCAAAAGACAAAGATACCATGACTTTTTCACCTAATAAGAAAACTTACTTTTTTTGACCATGATTTTCAAATGCTAAAAGCCAAAAGCCCCAAAACTGTGACCAGGAATAGAGAGGATATCCTCCCAGTAGCAGACCAAACCTCTAAATGTACCCTGGAATAATTAATTGCAAATTGACTGCTTAGAATGTTTCACCAGAAGTAGAAAAAGTTTTATGTTTATAATGGAACAAGATATAATGGCAAAATTTGCCCTTCCAATGAGCCGTGGATAGGTTAAAACAATATGGGTGTCTTTGTACCAGAGCAAGCAGGAACTACAGATGAATCACTAGAGTATTCTTCAAGTGTTTTATTTTAGACCAGACAAGATTTATCCTTTTGTTATGTATCTTTAATATTTAGCAGGTATTTTTCAGCATGAGGTTTTACGTAAATTATGAAGTATAGGGAGTGGAGGGATTAGGGCTATGGCAAAAACTAATTTTATTTCTTTTACATGTAATTAAAATCAAGATCATATGAAGTGTTAATACCACTTTATAATGCCTTGGTAAGGCCACACTTGGAATATTGCATTCAGTTTTGGTCACCACAATGTAAAAAAGATGTGGAGACTCTAGAAAGAGTGCAGAGAAGAGCAACAAAGAGGATTGAAGTTTGAAGTTTGAAGTTTGATTTTATTTATATGCCGCCCTATTCCCTAAAAGGGACTCAGGGCGGCGAACAACTCCAAAGGGAAGAGAAAACATACAAATACAAAATAAACATTTAAAATAACCAACAACCACACCTGTCGAAGGGGAAGGATTAGGAGACTGGAGGCTAAAACATATGAAGAACGGTTGCAGGAACTGGATATGTCTAGTTTAATGAAAAGAAGGACTTTAGAGGGCGAAATTTCCTGACAGCAAGTACAATTATTAATCAGTGGAACGGCTTGCATTCAGAAGTTATGAATTCTCCAACTGGAAGTTTTTAAGAAGAGATTGGATAACATTTGTCTGAAATGGTATAGGGTTTCCTGCCTGAA